CATCAAGAGCCTTGGTTTAGCCTCTGAGACTTACCGGCTTCAGGTGAGATTCAAAGCATTACCAGCTGTGTTGGCTATGGGGCAAAACTCTTTCTGCTTGAGAAAAGCAGAGGGAAAAGTAAAGGAGGCTGTCTTGCAGCTTAGGTACCAGCTCAGCAACATGGAAGGCAGAACACCAAGCAGGCTCTTGAGATTTCTGATTTTAGAAGCTGACTCTTGCATCACACGTCTGGATCTGGGAAAACGCTATCAAACCACATTGCATGCTACAGAGAAATCTTTCATGAAAGGAAGAGACAATTGATGCAGAAATCTTTATTGTTGTCTTATTTCGAAAAATTGCCACAGCTATCTCAACCTTCTGCAAAGACAACCTTGATAAGTCAGCAGCCATCAACATCAAGGAAAGGCCCTCTACCAGCAAAAAGAGTATGGCTTGCTGAAAGCTCAGATGATTATTAGCATTTTTTTAACAATAAGGTGTTTTGTAATTATAGTATTAACATATTAAGGAATAATGCAACTGGGCGCCCTGGCTCATGCCTGTAATCCCAGCACTTTGGAAGGCCTAGGTGGACGGATCATGAGGTTGTGTCCAGAATTGGTGGGTTCTTGGTCTCGCTGACTTCAAGAATGAAGCCGTGGACCCTCATAGTGAGTGTTACAATTCTTAAAGGTGGTGCGTCCAGAGTTTGTTCCTTCTGACCGTTCGGAGGTGTCCGGAGTTTCTTCCTATTGGTGGGTTTGTGGTCTGGCTGACTTCAGGAGTGAAGCTGCAGATCTTCGTGGTGAGTGTTGCAGCTCATAAAGGCAGCGTGGACCCAAAGAGTGAACAGCAGCAAGATTTATTCCGAAGAGTGAAAGAACAAAGCTTCCACAGCATGGAAGTGGACCCGAGCAAGTTGCCGGAACTAGCTCAGGTGGCCTGCTTTTACTCCCTTATCTGCCCCACCCACATCCTGCTGATTGGTCCACTTTACAGAGAGCTGATTGGTCCATTTTGTCAGAGTGCTGATTGGTGCGTTTACAAACCTTTAGCTAGACACAGCTAGACACTGGCCAGTGCCCCGCAGCCCCAGTTCCCGCCCCTGCCTCTCCCTCCACACCTCCCTGCCAGGACAGGGAGCCAGCTCCCGCCTTGGCCAACCCCAGAGGGGTCCCCACAGCACAGCGGCGAGCTGAAGGGCTCCTGTAGGCTGCAAGAGCGGACTCCGAGGCTGAGGAGGCGCCCAGAGCGAGCCAGGGCTGCTAGCAGATTGTCACCTCTCAAGGTCAGGAGATCGAAACCATCCTGGCTAACACAGTGAAACCCCATCTCTACTAAAAATACAAAAAAATTAGCCAGGCATGGTTGTGAGCATCTGTAGTCCCAGCTACTGGGGAGGCTGAGGCAGGAGAATCACTTGAACCCAGGAGGCAGAGATTGCAGTGAGCTGAGGTTGCACCACTGCACTCTAGCCTGAGCGAAAGAGAAAGACTCTGTCTCAAAAAAAACAAAACAAAACAAAACAAAACAAAACAAAGAAAGACAGAAAGAATGCTATTGCACACTTTAATAGACCATAGTATAGTGTAAATATAACTTTGATATACACTGGGAAACTTAAAACTTCGAATGTCTCACTTTATTGCTATATTAACTTTATTGCAGTGATCTGGAACCAAGCCCATAATAACTGTGAGGTATGACTGGTATATGAAAAATGTGTATCCACTTTTCCCAAAATGAAATTACATAGAGTACAGAGCATCCTTTCAGATGTTCATTTTTCTGTGGTCAAAATGTATGGGAGTATGCTGACTTCTATCTCTCTCTCTAAGAAAGGCACAATGTATATTAGTATGTTGAAGTCTTTTAGAAGTCCTGCCTTAAGGAATCTTGTGTAAAGGTGCTTAGCCTAATACTTTCTAAATTTAGAGGAACATGAAACAACTTGTTTCTCACAGTAGAGTCCTTGATAGAACACCAGTTTGGAAAAATGTTGTCAGCAGAGTCTCTTTTCTGTCCCACCTACCTAATACAGGCTAATTGTGCAATTCTTTCTCTCTCTTCCTGCTTCTCTCTTTTCTCTCGTGTGTGTGTGTGCGCGCACGCGTGTGTGTGTATCCTAAAACCAGTGAGGTATAGTACATTCAACATCAGGAGCTGCTTGCTAATCACTAAAATAGCTTGACCCAAATTTAAGACATCTTAGTCTTCTGCCATTCTGTTTTAGAAAACTCTGAACGTAATTGATTTGCTGCTTGAAAGATTGTGATTCTTCCACAACAAAGAAATCCTCCACATTCTGGACAAATGTTTAAACCAATTACATAATTTATTTACATGTTTTAAATTTTTATATATTTAGAGGGTACAAGCACAGGTTTCTTACATGCATATATTGCATAGTGGTGAAGCCTGGGTTTTTAGTGTACCATGTGTCACCCAAATAGTGAACATCGTACCCAATACTTTTTTCAACTCTCGGCCCCCTCCTACCCTCCCACCTTTTGTAGTCTCCAATGTCTATTATTCCACTCTGCATGTCCATGTGCACCTTTTGGAAACTAATTATTTAAACAAATTATTCCTCTTTATTCTTCCAACTAACTGTCCATATGGGCTAAAATGTGCCAGTCAGTCTGCCCTGGGTTAATGCCAAGAAACAATAAATGTTGAATTACATAATGGATCCATTCAAGTCTTTGTTGGTTCAGTGTCCTGGGTGCATTCTTTTAGAAAACTTATTACTATCATCTTTCCTACACTATATAAGCATGTTCATTATTTTTTAAAGAATGTGATTGTTGGTGGGTTAATTTTTATGTCAATTTATTGACTTTTGTCTAAGAATAAATATAATTTAACTGCTCATATGCCTTTTTTAAGAAAAAGAAAATCTTGTCAGTTTTCAGATGTGTCATATCCCTGTTTCCAGCTTTGCTTCTCTCCAATCTAGTCTCTGTCCCGCAGCTTAAGGGAACTTTCTAAAATGTTATTCTTGCTATGTAATTCTTCTGCTTATAACATTTGAATGATACTCTTTTTATCCACAGAATGAAGTCTCAGCTCCTTAAGATGATCTGTAAGATCCCATATGGTCTGGATCTGTCTACTTCTTTTGCTTCATCCTTTACCTCTCCTCACTTGTTTGCCTTGCTTTGGCCACACAAAGTGCATGCAGTCCCTCCTATGTTCTATAAGTTCTCACTTTTGCTTAAGCTATTCCTTCTACCTTGTACACACTTATACCTACCTTTTCTTCATCTTATTAGTTCCATAAATATTCAGTGTTCTCTGCTAAGATGTAATTTCTTCAGAGTAACTCTCCACAATTTCCAATACTAGAATAAGTGCCCCTAAAAAGTACTCCCATAGCATTCTTTACTCACAACCCCCCCATTATTGTATCTAACACAGTGTGTTGAAATGATCTGTGCATTATAACATTTTCATAATTATCTCAGAGAGGGAAATAAGAACCATATGTATGTTCCAACTAAAGTAATGATAACAACGATAACACTCTATATTTCTTAAACTAAAATCATCTCTTTTAAGTGTCTATTTTACATTTCACATTGTTACTTAACTGAACTTAGCTTTCTGATAATGTGTCCAAATACCATTAAGACAAAATGCTTATTTATATATAGACTCCTTCCAAGGGAAAAAAGTATGCTAATGATTTTATTTGGCAAAGAGACTGAGTCTCAAAGGAGGAAATAAAGAGTAGAATTTTGAAGATTTAGTTAACAACACATAATTTTGCTTAGAACTCTTAATCCAGTTTCTAAGGATTTCAGCAATATTTGAAGTTAGCAGAGAATGAACTAGGATCAGATTGTATACAATCCTAATGTTTCCCCAGAGAAAATTTCTACTTATGTAACTAGAGATGACACAGTTAAGTAAAAGCTCAACATGCGTGTTTCACAAGAGCAACTCTGGAGTATATTCAATTGTCATAGATAACTTTATCATTTTCATCTCCACCAAAACCTGTTTATCCTCATGTTTTCCTTATTCTGGTAAATGGCACCATCATCTTAACTGGCCAAGTTATCCTTGACTTGTTTTTCCCTTACCCTTCACATTCAGTTGCTTTGTAATATCCTGTCAATTATACCTCCAAAATGATTCTTTCCCTTCCACTACAACTACTAATATCCTATCACAGACCTTCATATCATACCTTCAATAATTGTCTAACTGGTTATTCTACCTCCACGTCCACCCCACCAAAACCAGCTCATTCTTAATAGCATAATGGTAAAGGGTATGTACTCTGAAAACAGAGTGACTTAATTTGTGACCCTAGTTCTGCCACTTAAAAGCTGTGTGTTCCTAGGCAAGTTATTTAACCTCTTTGTACCTCATTTTCCTTATCTTAAAAAATGGAATCATAATAGCATGTACATATCTCGATTATTCTAAGTTCAAAAATATACGTATATAGTACTGAGCACATTACTATTTGCCTGACACATAGTAAATGTTGCATATATATGGTAGTAGGAATAGCAGTAAAACATAACTGAGTTTTTTATGCCCTATTTAAACATCTTTGATGTTTCCCTATTGCCTAGGTACACATTCATTAGCATGGTATACAAGACATTTCACAAGTCATTCCCAGCTGATAAATTCCAGTTTCATTTCTAGCTACCAAATGGTTTATATTTTAGCCACAATGAACTACCTGATATTCTCTGAATGCAGCATCTACTTTTCTAGAATGATACATGGAAAGCCCTTATCTACCTTAGAATTTCACTTCTAGCGTTACTAGAATCTTGTTTTTACCTACTATAATATAAAATCCTCTGATATACTCTAAACATAGCAAGCTTAAGAAATGCACATTGGATTCTGACCTTATTGCAGTGATCTATTTTTCTGTTGTGTATTGAACCAGAGATTGGAAGCACTGGCCAGACAACACATTTTTATTCTACATTAACAAGTTCTTCTAGGTCTTTCAAGCTTGGATGTGGGGAATCAACTTAATTAATCTTCCTTACTTAAATTTCTGGACATTCATGTATAACTTTCATAAGCCAGACTATATCATCTTGAGGGAGATGGATGTTAGGAAGATGGCAGAATAGGACTCTTCGGTGCTTGCCCCCTGCAAAATACCAATTCAAAAATTATCCACACATGAAAAAATACTTTCACAGGAGCTAAGGAAGCCAGGTGAGAGATTATAGTCCCCGGATGTAGCACAGAACTAAGAAAAGATGCATTGAAGAGAGTAGGAAGGACAGATTTGCATTACCCTTATCATCCCTCACCCAATACTAGACAGAAAAGCTTGGAAACACATATCCTTTCCATGGAGGAAAGAGAGGGACATGAGCACTGGACTTTGCCTTGGACCCTGAAACCAGGCCTGCCCCAGTAAGTGTGGAGGCCTCCCTTAGCACCAGGCAGGCATCTACAGTCTCATACTCCAGGCCAGTGCCCACAGACTGAGGTCCCAGGCCCACCCAGTGTGAGGCTGGATCCACAGCCCCAGGCTCTAGGCTTGCATTGCAGTCTCAGTCTCTGGACCACCCCACCACCAGGTCAAGCCCAGTGGCTCCAGACTTCAGACTGCCTCCATAACTGGGATGGCCGCCATAGCTGCAGACTTCAGGCTCATGCCAGCACCAGTCAGGCCCTCACAGACCTATTCATCAGGCCAGAATCCACAGACTTGATTTTCAGGTCAGCCCCCACAGATACAAGTCCCTGGCTCACTGAGTACCAGGCTAGTCTCTATAACCTCAGGATCTAGGTCACTATCTACAGATGAAACCTCCAACTCTGCCATGAAACCAGGAGGGATCCCAAAGCTGCAGGCTCCAGACAAGCTCAGTGAATTCAGTCCCCAGACCCACTCCAGTGTCAGAATGAGTCTAATGGCCCCAGGCTCTGGATAAACCCCAGCACTGAAAGACCCCAGAGACCCCAAGATTCAGGCCCACACTAGCACCAGGCCAGCTCCTATAGAATCAGGTTATAGGCTAGACTCAAAGCCAGGTTAGCTCCAGCAACCCCAGGCTTCAGATCACCCCTAGCACTGGGCTGGCCATCATGGTCTCAAGCTTCAGGCCTGTCCCAACACCTGGCCATCCCCTACAGCCCTGGTCATCAGGCTGATAACTGCAGACTCAGCATCCAGGCTGACCACTGTAGATACAGGCCTATTCCATGCCAAGTCACCACTGCATTTTCAGGTTTAAGGCCCAACCAAACACCAGATTAGCACTACTGGACTTAAAACCAGGTAGGAAGGCACAGGAATAGGCTCCAGGCCTTCCTAGTGCCAGGCCAGTCACTATGGCCCTACTTCCCAGGATGGTTTCCGCAGCTCCATGTTCCAACAGACTCAGGGTCCAGGCTTGTCCTAGTAGACTCCTGCACTGGACCAGCCCCTGTGAACTCAGGTTCATAATAGAAGAAAACTTTCCAAATTTGGGCAAATGTATAAATATACAGGTATAGGAAGGCAAAAGTTATCCAATCAGATTCAATTCAAACAAGAATAAATTAAGATATATTGTAATGGAACTATCTAAAACTAAAGACAAAGAAAGGCTCCTGAAAGCATGAAGATAAAAAGGCAGGTAACATCTTAAATAGTTCTAATAAGGCTAGCAATGGATTTCTCAGCAGAGACTATACAGGCCAAGAGGGAGTGGAATGATATATTCAAACTGTTGAAGGAAATAAAAAGGCAACCAAGAATACTTGCTATAGTTTGGATGAGTGTCCCCTCGAAATCTCATACTGAAATATAATCAATGTTGTGGCAGGGTTGGGAGATGGGGCCTAGTGGGAGGTGTTTGGGTCATGGCAGCATATCCCCCTCATAAATAGATTAATGCTCTCCCTTGGGGGTGAGTGCGTTCTCACTCTTAATAGTTCTCATGAGAGCTAATTGTTTAAAAGAGCATGGCATATCCCCCTCCCTCTATTGCTTCCTTTCTTGTTAAGTGATCTGTGAACATGCTGGCTCCCCTTCACTTCCACCATGAGTGGAAGTAGCCTGGGGCCCTCACCGGAAGCCATGTAGATGCCAGTGTCATGCTTCCTGTACAGCCTTTAGAACTGTGAGTCAAATAAACTTTTTTCATTCTAAATCTCAGCTTCAGGTATTACTTTAAAGTAACTCAGTGGACTAAGACAGAACATTTGTTATCAGGAGTGGGGTGTTCTATAAAAGTACTTAACAATTGAAAGTGACTTTGGTAGTCAGTAATGTGCAGAGACTGGAAGAGTTCAAAGGGCTCAAAAGAAGACAAAAAGGTGAGAGAAAGTATAAAATTTTAGTTAGATAGAAAGAATAAATTAAATATATCTATTGTACAACTTGGCAAGTATAGTTAATAACAATGTTTTATATACTTGAAAATTGCTAAAGGTAAATTTTAAGTGTTCTGACCACAAAAATAATAAGTATTTGGGGCAATGCATTTGTTAAATAGCTTCATGTAGCCATTCTACACTATTTACATATTTCTAAACATCATATTGTACATCATAAATATCTATTTATAGTTTTTATTTCTGCACTAAAATACATAAATAAATAAAAATATAATTGAGAAGGAGGAAGCATTTTTACGAATAAAACCAAGCACTTTTCCAATTGCAAGTCAAAGAGCAAAGAGCAAAAGCTCCTATTATAGGTGACTCTAAGCAGGGTTTAACTCTAGAGAGAGAAAATGAACTCCACAGGCACTGTAGAGTGTATAACAGATTGCAAAATGCTTGCCCTAGTCAGAAGATTGAACTGGTCTAAAAAGCAATTTCTTCTATGTATTTCCCTGGTAGCATCAGAAAAACACATTAGCACAGACTTCTTGAACTTCCAAGTTATTCAAAATACAAAAAAAAGTTTTGGTTGGCAAAATGTTTAACAAAGAGTACAAATATATCAATTTAGTGTGTTCAGGGTTTTTGTTTTTTGTTTTTTAACAGTATTTATGTCAGAAGAATAAGTTGTTGTTTACCAGTTAGGGAGTCTTGGTTATTTCTAAACAGATTAATTTTCTTCTAAATTTTTAAATTGTCTCTTCTTGCCAAAAAAAGACCACATCATTAACCTCAAAGAAATGCTAATAAACCGAACTAATTTAAAAGCTTTAGTAAGTTCAATTAATTGTTTTGTTAACAGTCTAATTTTCTCATGCTTTGATAATGAGTATATTGTAAGTAATTTTGATAATCTCCAGTTCAGCAAACAAGTTTTGCATTGTAAAGCAAAAATTGTGTTGTCTTAATAATTACCAAAATCTTTGGCCTGTTTGGTATTTGTGATAAATTGGATAATTACCTTTGTAAATTGCATTCCAAGTTTCAGTGCTATAAGAGAAAGGTAATTTATTTTTCCATGTTATGTATATACACACACACACGCACACACACACACACATATATACACACACACATATATATATACCTAACTTTAAATGTATACAACAAATCTCAAATCACCTTTTCATATAACAAAACTGCTATAGTGCACTTAATAATAGCTTCAGACATTTGTCTTACATTTTAGATGTCATTGAAATGGGCATAATAACAAGTTTATGTCAAATGAAAGATTATTATTCAAAAGACTTAGGCTTATAATATAAAATCTTATTTATTTCTTGCTCATTCTAGCATGGTATTAAACTCTGTGGGTCAAAACCCACATCATAAAAGTCAGGAAATTGCTATTTATGCAACATGCATTTGTGACAATGACCACATTTACAAGAATGCTCATCAGTCTTATAACACTACTCGAAATTCATGTTTTTTATTTGTCTTGAAAGACAAGTCCTCATTTCAGTGTAAAAGGTACCACCACATATTGATATATAAACACTACTTTATAGAACATAAGCTGCACTTTTGAAATGTAGACACACACAAAACCTCATGAGTTTTATGGAATTTGAATAAGTATATTTTAATAAATTAGAATCTTCTATAGCTGAAGTGTTCAACTTTATCCTCCTCACACATGAATTACAAATACAACTTTGCGAAGGTTAGTTACCTTATTTTGGCCACTACATGGAGAAATCCAGGTAATTGCTGTATAAAATACGTGACTGGAAGACAATGTATTCTAGTCACTGTTGACAATTTCACAAGGAAGACAAGATTCCTGCTATCTAGGATGTACTTACTACCTATTATTGAATATTTATGATGTGTGAGACACAGCACTAAGATTTTTCACATCTTGTCTCTAAAATTCTAAGAAAAGTCTTATGAAGTGAGCAATATTATTCCTATTTAAAATTGCCAATTAATAGACAAAGGATATGAATCCATGTCTGGTGACAAAGCCTTTGTTTTTTGCCACTATGCCATGCTGTAGTATCCTTAAACATGATCTAAATCAAAGAAATCTCCAAACAATAATAGCACATGGTGTTTAATTTGAAAAATATGGTCAATCACAAAGTAGATGCAATATGATGTGGCCAGTGTTTTATTCATTTCACAGGTGTTTGTGGCACTTTTTTAAAAGTATAAGTCCAGTGGAGCAAGGTTCTTGGATGGATCCAGAGAATTCTTGTTTTTATTTTTATATCGATTAGAATACACCTACATACTAGAACTAAGCAAAAAGCAAGGTCTTGTTTCATATATGCATCAGAAAACCATTGGTATAAGGTGAACCTATGGGTTCTGGAGCCTATGTTGATGGATAGATGTTTTGTTAAGTGGGCATTGGTGTCCGTCCTCGGTTGCTTTGCAGATGATTTTGTTCTTACAAAGCTATAGTTCCAAATCTTTCCTATCTTATAGAGTATTTTGAGAAGCTGACACCTATCAATTCTTTCTCCAGGCAGGGTGATTTATAGATATGAAAAAACAGAGTTTTGCATAACATTTCATTTCAGGTAGTTCATAATCCTTCCAAATTCCATTTATGCCTTGACTATATAAAAATTAAGAACCCTTACTATAAAACCTCTTTTGTGCAAAGTATTATGTTTTCTTGGCAACAAGGAGGCTTGGGTCTGTTGGAAATAACAATATTTAACAATACACAAAATCTTTCCCTGTCAATTTCATTGGCATAAAATAACTTTATTTTCTGATATATTTTTATTTCAAGTTCTTATTATCATT